AGCTGTGAGAAGTACTTCGCAGTAGTTTACGAAATCGGTGTCGATATGAAAGCCATACGGACAGCATTTACATGAGTTTAGACCATTGACTGCACTTTTGGCGGACATCACGACAGAGACACCAATTGAGGGATTCAAGTGAACAGTTGGCAATACATTCAACACTCACTTATGGGATATGGGAAACACATTCATTGCCTAAACAGATAAAACACATAACAAATCAGTTTATTTACATATATTTCGCATCAATTATCAATCATATAAATTATTATATAATTAATTAATTCAATTAGTTAATTCAAACGTTTACTAATCAATGGATATATAAGAATAGAGGTCACAGTCTGTCAGCAAATAATATCTATATTGCTATGGAATATACGATAATTTCTTATCGAAACTTCACTACTTTTAAAGCAAAACCGGAAAATTTATGATTTCGTTAACCAAAAAAGTAAATGCCTTGCAATATATTATATAAGATAATATAATACAATACAATATAATATAATTAGAGCTTTCAATCAAACATTGCTATTTTGCCAACAAAAAGAAGTTTCAAAAAATAAAAGCATTTAATGGGTATTCTTATACAGATACAGATACTTGTAGTTTATAAAAACATGAGATAAAATGAGGAAAGTATGTTAAAAGTCACGTTTGGATAAAGTGTCAAATAATTCTTATTAAAATTCACACGAAACTAACAAAATAAGTTTATATAATACAATACAACGTTCATTCAAGTAATAAATTTTCTACAATACAGTATTGATATTTGAAATAAATATAGAATTTTCAAAACCATTTCTGTGTTATATTTGATTATACATACAGTCAAATCTATTTATGCAAACATATAAGTTATAAACCCTATTAAAAAGCAAACCGTGATATCAGTGATTATATATGGGCAAAATATACAATAAAGTAATTGGACTAACTAATTTAGTTCATATCAATTGCATACTTACAATATAAAAATTATAAAATATTAACTTTATTAATTTTAAGCCCACTTATAAAAATACGGATATTATAAAAATTGTTCAACGATTTAATATGTAAGATTTGACTTTTATTAATGGCAAAATATATTTGTTAATTGTGAAGAATGTAATGATAATTTGCAAATAAGGGGATTCACTTTAAACTAAGTTTTGGAGTGGAAATACACTCAATCATTGGCAATACAGTTGTATTGAGTGTTTAAACCCATTGAGTTGTCTTCAAATAAGTATTTATTATAATTTATGTGTATTTTTAAATAATTATAAAATATTTCCGAATAGTGTATTATTAATAGGATTAGAAATATACTTCATGTCAAATGACTGATAGTGTAGTATTAAAGATTGAAACAAGTATTGGCACAGTAGCGCACTGTGTGTAGGTATTACCGATGCAACTGATATTGGACACACTTCACAAACAACACATAAATATGTCTCAACACAAAACACCTGTATTTCTAATGCTAAATAATTGTTTTCAATAATTTCAAACTGAGTTCACAATAGTCTTTGTAAATTCGCACATTCACTCAATGCATGTATTATTCATATGAATACGTATTCACAGACTAAGTGTAGTTAATTTGATAACTACTTAAAAATGGATGTCTTTCTAAACTAAAGAGACATAAAGTTCAATAGATGTGAACACAAACTGAAGTAGTTATCAGATAAAAGGCAAAGATGTGAACAGATTTGCTTCAACTTTAGCTTTGGTTCCTCAGTCAATACAAAATATAAGATAATTTTGAAAACTTTTCAAACTTTTTTGCACAGAAGACACGCCTTAGCTATACATTGAACGCAAAGTTTTGATGAATTTATAGCGAAGCAAATCGTTTTCAAAAGTCGTATAAATATTTTGCAAACGATTTATAGTTTTGAAAATAGTTTTTAGGCGTAAAAATAAGTTATACGGCATTTGAAAACATTAGTCCAAAGGAAATGAATTTTTCTAACAAATAAATGATCCTTTGATTATATTTACACGACTATTAAGTCATTAAAACATTTTACAAATACTTTTTTATAGTCATATTTGTAATGTATATTTAGTTTCATTAATCACTTCATCATTTAAATATAGATCATATGAAATGATGGACTCAAGGGATGGGAGGAAACAGACAATTGAAGGGGTATGGGATGTATGGGACATATCAAGGCTTACATGAATTGCGGAAAAGTAGCCAATGTATGGAAATGATGAGCATATGAGCAGGGATACGGATATGGATTGGATACTTGAGTGCCAACTAATTCAATAGGCGTATGAAATATGGGGAGCAAAGTGCGGTTGCGGTCACCTCTGGTTAATCGGATTGTAATTATAGTTTCAATCAATTAATGTTAGAGTACTTTGACTTCAATTAAGAGAATGGCTTTTAATGGCGAACTCAGACATAGACATAGAGTTTGTATAAAACATTAGTTTTATTTATGACTATAAACTGGTTTTGAATGAAAAGTTGCATAACTTTGCAAACACCTACACTTCCAGTCTATGCAACACATTGTCTCTCATCTAATGATCATATTATAGACAAAAGTCTTCACAATTAATGGCATTTTGTGTGAACATCTATACTGTACTATAGTTTTGAACGACAATCAAACAAATAATACACAAATCACTCAATCCTTCAACAAATCCCACATCAATACGAATAGCCATTAGTTATTGAGTGTTAAAAATTCAATGATAAGCGCAATGAAAACACTTGAAAACATGAATTGACAACTTATTTCTTACCTTTAAATCTGACAAACAATTTAAATGTTTCCCTCAAATCGTTTGCAATGTCTCTCGCAATAGATTTCTCACAAAATATGAATCAAAATATTAGTGATGATAACAAATGTAAATACAAAAGACATTAAAAAACAAAATAAGATATAAAGAGTTTAATGAGAGTAGAGGTAATGAACGGCAAAACAATGTGAAAATGTGGACAAAACGCGAAACACAGGTATTGTATGATTGAAGGTATGATTGAAGTGAAGGCACAACAGGTTTTCACAGCAAACCAATGAAAGGCATTTGAAAACCACAATCGCTGTGAAGGCGAGCAATATGTGAGATAAACTTTGCGTCACTTTTGGCTCACTTTTACTGTTTGTATGCTTTTTTGAGCCCAACTCTCGCATCAGATGGCAGTCAATGCACTCAACACTGCAATGCATTCACTGAGTGAGGGGTCGTTCACTAATTGAGTGGATTTGGCGCTCAACACCACAAAGCTTTACGTTTGACAAGACCTGCATTTGTCACTGCATTTGATCCATCAATCAGTAGCCCATTAGCCGATTGTGACCACCAATGGGTCTGTTGGAGGACTGCAAGCAGTACTTCGGAACCGATGACTTGTATGCAGTGTTGGGCGTGAAGAAGGGCGCCAAAGACAGTGCCATAAAGAGTGCGTACAGAAAGCAGTCACTGAAAGTACATCCGGACAGAGCAGATGATGGCGACAAAGAAGTGGCCAAAAGAGCCTTTCAGACGCTCTCCAAAGTCCACTTCATTCTGAGCGACAAAACTCTTCGCGAGACATACGACGAGACGGGGATTATAGCCGACGAAGACTCGTTTGAATCAAATGCCGATTGGAGTGAATACTGGCGGCTATTGTTCCCCAAAATCACTGAACAGGACATCTCGTCGTTTCTCGACAAATACATCGGTTCTGCGGACGAGACCAACGATTTGAAAGAGTATTACATGAGATTTGAAGGCGATTTGGATTCAATCAGTCAGTGTGTCATTGGTTTCGACGAAAACAGAACTCGAGAACTGATTCAAGGGTTGATTGACGCCGAAGAAGTTCCGGAGTTCGAGGCGTTTGTCAACGAATCGGCGGTTAAGCGACAGAATCGCGTCAAGAGAGCCACAAAAGAGGCGAAAATGGCTGACAAGGAGTCGAAGAAACTGAAGAGCAAATCAAGTGATGATAATTTAGTTCTTGCCATCAGATCGAGAGCTCAGAACGGTTTTGATGATATGATCGCTAATCTTGAGGCCAAATACAGCAACAATAAGACCACCAAAAGTCCCAAAAAATCTAAACGCAAATAATTGCTTTCATTTTATTTATTCATTTTTTATCCTAATTTTACGACACTTTTAATGATGTCAATGTATGTTGTAATTCAAAACTATTATTAAACTTATAAATACTGTATATCTGAATTTGCATTTACCCGTACAATATGAAAATATCCATTGTTATCAATTTAATGTTATTTAAAGTAATTATAAGTTATGGATGTAATTCTGATGATAAACTCAATTATAAGACCTGAATAAACACTTCATTTATGATAAAGACAGCATTTATTTGAGTTGAGCATTAAATGAGAGTGTTTTCCGGTTATTAGTTATACAGTGATCAGTAGTTTACAATTAACTTGAATTAAAATAAAGTTTAATTAGACTTATGATAAATTGCAAACATTTTGGCGCAAACACACAGTGAACGTAATGGTGTGACAACCCCTCAGTGCATGCATTTGAAGGACATTGTGTTGAATGCATACAAAGGTTTAGATTTTGTTTACGTTTTGATCGCTTTTCCAAAACATTTAATTAAATCCATAATTCATTTGAAACACAATTTGTATTCAATTTATTACTAATTATTAATAAAATCTGTTTTGTTTGAAACGAAAGCATTGAGTAATTGATTGATTGGTTGCCCACAAGTCCGGAGTGATGTTTGCCGTAAGTATAGCACAATCTGTGAGTCATTTGAGACCACATTTGCCATTGAATTATGTAATTCTGATGATAAACTCAACTATAAGACCTGAATAAACACTTCATTTATGATAAAGACGGCATTTATTTGAGTTGAGCATTAAATGAGAGTGTTTTCCGGTTATTAGTTATACAGTGATCAGATTGTTATCAATTTAATGTTATTTAAAGTAATTATAAGTTATGGATGTAATTCTGATGATAAACTCAACTATAAGACCTGAATAAACACTTCATTTATGATAAAGACGGCATTTATTTGAGTTGAGCATTAAATGAGAGTGTTTTCCGGTTATTAGTTATACAGTGATCAGTAGTTTACAATTAACTTGAATTAAAATAAAGTTTAATTATGATAAGTTGCAAACATTTGGGCGCAAATATGTTTGCGTGCACACAGTGAACGTAATGGTGTGACAACCCCTCAGTGCATGCATTTGAAGGACATTGTGTTGAATGCATACAAAGGTTTAGATTTTGTTTACGTTTTGATCGCTTTTCTAAACATTTAATTAAATCCATAATTCATTTGAAACACAATTTGTATTCAATTTATTACTAATTATTAATCTTTAGACAAAACAAACTTTGCTTTCGTAACTCATTAACTAACTAACCAACGGGTGTTCAGGCCTCACTACAAACGGCATTCATATCGTGTTAGACACTCAGTAAACTCTGGTGTAAACGGTAACTTATGTGTTTTAATGGCAGAACTCATCGCATAATTCGGCTAAATATGGATCAAGTGTTGGACACAATCACAGCCCCAACGCCTTCCCACAGCAGACAAACATTCCTCCGCAGCCGTCGTCCACACGCGCGTCCGGACACAACTCGCCCACCAATCGGCACAAGACTGGGTCGTCGGGTGAGCC